TCTCTCTCTCTCTCTCTCTCTCTCTCTCTCTCTCTCTCTCTCTCTCTCTCTCTGTGCCTCCCTCGCTCCGCTCGCATTCCCTCCCTCTCGACTTCACTCTCGATCTCTCCCCTTCCCCAGCTGGCGCTGGCGACCCAGCCGTCGCAGCAAGCGCGGTTGGTGCTTTCGGCCGTGCCGCCGTACGGGATCACGCACACCAACGAGGCGTGGACGGCGTTGATGGGGCACACCGCCGAGGAGGCTAAGATGTTCCCCTTCACCCTCATGAACGTGAGAGATACGCCGCTTCTTGGTGTTTCCCCTGAACCCTTATGAACGTAGGAGATACACCGCTTCATGCTGCCTACTTGCTGCCTGCTTACTGCCGGCTGCATAGAGCGTACCAAAGAATACCAAAGAAAGGTTGGACGTCTAGTTAGATTCCTGCCTGTCGTTTGTTTTTCAAGACACGAGGGAGAACTGGCATCTTTGTGTCCATCTGCTGCGAAAATACTTGGGCAGGAAACGAAACCGCCCCCCTGTGAATTGCGCCGCGCAGGGTCCCGCCGAGGCAAACAACGGGGACGCCCTGGAGACGCTTGTGCAGACCTGCATCGGGTCCAACGTGAAGAGGGCGGAGATGGTGGACCTTAGCGTTGTGACGAGAGACTTGCGGCGATTGGCGGTGGCCGTCCAGGCCTACCCCTTGGGAACTCCGGATGGCGCGACCACCCACCTGCTGCTCGTCATGGAAGAAATCCCGGTCTGCACGCCTTTGCCACAAACAGGTGCGAAAGGACGTCGTATTTACTACTGAGTACACACATGATCTACCATTTTTATTTTTCATACATGCAGAGGACCCCTGGGTTCGAGCAGAGTGGGGGGCACCCGGCTGAGAATAGACAGGGTGAGTTATTTATTTTTTCTCGCTCGAGGTGTGTACAGACGGGTGGGAGCTCTCGTAATGTCGGATTAGGCAAGCTGCAAGGTGCCATTAGTAGGACGGATAACGTGGCAGAGATTAGAAGGCAAGCGGGGCGGTGATGGCAGGGGCGGCTCCCGGCCCGGAACGGTGAAAAAACTTGAGGTCCCCGGAATGCCGCGTGTTTATCCCTGGCGCGGAATGCATAGTTTGTACCGGTTTGCTTGCCTTACGGCTAGAACAGCTTGATGCTGTGACAATATATAGCGATTGTTTTTGGTGCGCGGGGCTGGTTTGGGACTCGCATGGTCCCGAGGAACTTTCAACCCTCGCCGTGCTTGTTTTCTTCGGGGTAGTAGTAGTCTTTCCTACCAACAGCAGCAGCACTCGACTGCCCAACCAGACACGCGTTGCGTGGATGTGGTCGTTAGCCTCTTGCCGATCCTGGCCCGAAAATCTTGACCTTTACAGTAAGTAGCCTTGGCACCGTCCGCCTTCGCGGCGTTCTCGCCCGTTGATTGGCCAATCGCTCGTAACCCTTCGCGTCCGCATCTCGGATCGGATCGGTTCGAATGTAAATCGCTGCTGCTGCTGCTGCTGCTACAGGCCTGGATCTCTATCCGTTCGTCTGAGAGAGGAGAACGCCAATAGGGACGGAATGGCAGTTTGACCGCGTGGAGGCGTCAACGCTCACCTGATGCCGCACCACTGTTGCGTCTGTTACCTTCATAGAGGTGCTGTTTGGATTGTGCCGAGGCTATTGTATCTTGTTTAGGTCTCGGGGTTACCTCGACATGTGTTGCTCCGTTTCTCAGTGCTGGGATGGGTGTCATGTAGTGTGATCGAATCGGCAGGTCAGAGTTCAGAAAAAACGAAAAAGAACGAACCCCGGGATCACACCAATGTATCTCTCTGGGTTCAAGTGTGTTGTTGTCATTTCGTGGTGTTGTGTTTTAGGTTCTCTTCTTGCTTGTAGGCTTTCCATTTGTCGTAGTTTAGCGTGTTTGAGCGCACAGATAGATCCAACCTCGTTATATTTTGTGGTGCCGTTGGCTCCCCGCACGTTTGGTTCTTCGTAAGCTGATGAGCTGGATGCCGGGGTCACGATGCGATGTATGCCTCCTTCTCTTTGAGGGCAAGCCTTCCTGTGGAACTATAGGTACGCAACGACCTCCGCTTCGGCAGGACTCCATAGCCGTTAGAAGGTCGAATGAAGGTCTTGGGGTATACCAACTGAAGCTGCCGGTTCCCAGCGGTGGCCTAGAATAGCTACCGCGTTCATTTCGAGGCGCATTCAAGTAGAGGAGTACAAGCACCGCCTTTGGGATGTTGTACAAGGGCGTGTTTTTTCTTGCGGTCGGCGGTGAGCTGATTGGAAGACGTGCCAAGTACGAATACGAGTAACAAGGAAATGGGTCACTGCCGTTTGCTCAGACGCTCACGCCAGGGATGCGTGCTATGTAGATTATTGGGCGGACGCTTGCCACCTTGCCTTTTAGTGGCTGTGCGACAGGGCGGGTAGCGAATGAAACGATGTTGCTTTATATCAGATGATGGACAAGCAGCTGTGTTTGTGGGCTGGAGAATATGTTGGGACAATAAGTATGAAACGCGAATCCTTTCTGTTGTTCACGAAGACAGGCGAGGATGCTGAGTGTTCTGGTGAATTCGGCCTCATGGCAATATGTAGGTGTTCAAACGCAAGTTCGCAGGATTGCTGCACTTACCTAATCAGTGCTCTCGGTTTGGAGAATCACGTTGCCTCTTTGGCACAAAGATTTCGTATAACACACTTGCTAGAAGTGCTCTTTGAGGGGGGAGGAATTGTTCTTCTTGAGAGTAGCAAAGTGGACTATTTGGTCATGCCATACAAGAGTTGCTGTGGGATCTCCGAAAAAGGCCCCCAGGTACATGACGGTATGTTTGCAGGCTCTGACGTCAATCGGTTTTTGAGAGTATTGAGAGGAGAGAGGGTCAACCTGAGCGCAGAACTGCCTTCAATCATGTGAGGCGTTGGTAAACGTGCGTTGTCGGGGACTATCGGGAAATTAGTAGCGCACTGGGCAGAGAGAAAAAGCATTTGTGGCACGCAGTTGGCTGACTGGTAAAAAAAAACTGCGGATAAAGAGCAAATAAGTATGGTGCAGCTGAGGTCGCATCTAATGGGCGGTTGGCAAGTCCTGGTGGAATTAAAAAGGGCGTATGGAAGCAAGCGTATCTAGCTCCAGGTACTTTGAGAGTGATGTGTAGAGTGACAGGGTTTGTTTGTAGCCAGCTATGAGAGACAGGGATATGAGGGGGCGCTGTTTTCTGATACGGTAGAGAGGTTATTCGGTCGAGAAAACCGCGTCTTGGCCGAAGATCCTCGGATGATGGCCTTTTTTTTTGGGATCATTGACTGTCGCTTCTGCTGTGGCATGTTCGAAAACGATTTTGCGTTCAATCGGCAATAGGACTGACGTGGACGTACGAACGTGTTTGGGAGGGGGGATGCTTGGACCTCGATGTGTTCATTTTTTTAACGGAAAGATCATGCGCATGCGTATATTTGCTTGGAACATGGGCTTTGACCATAAGGTTTTAACACTAAACTCAGTGTCCCCTCCGTAGAGACCGCTACAGAATAGCATCAAGAAGACTTGACCAAGTTGAAAACGTATTCATGTGAAGTATTCGGCTGGCCGGAATGGATGACGTTGACACTCGCGAACAAAATCGTTTTCTCTTGTCCCTGCGACGACTTGTCCGTTATACATCGTGTCCCTATGTGAAAAGAAGGAATCTTCTTCGACCGGTGTTGGGGGGATCGGGCCTTTTCAAGGTCACCTCCATGTTGTTACCCTCCGCTCTTCAATGGACTATTCTCGTTTCTCGAAGGCAGGGGTGTATAGCAACCGGAACCCGACCGGCTATGAGCGCCGAGTAGAAGTGTTTTTTTCTGTTGTCGCTGCCATGGTGTCCCTGTGTGAAAAGAGGAATCGTCTTCGACAGATGTTGAGGGGATTGGTCACCTGCATTTTATTTCCCCCCGCTCTTCAAGGGGTTGTTGTTGTTGTTGTTGTTGTTGTTGTTCACATAAAACAGAACGTTCCGGTCTCCGCTCAGTACCTTCTAATGTCCGTGCTGGTCCAACTGACGCGGACGCCTTTCGTGATCACAAGCCAACTTCCCCACCAAATTACAATAGACTTTCTCGTTTCTCGAAAAGAAGGTATGGGCGAAATAACCGGAACCCGACCGGCTTTTAGCGGCGAGTATAGCTCTCTCACCTTTGTTCGCACTGTTCGTGTTTTTGGCAAGATGAACTACAGGCAGCAACGAAAGACTGTCCGTTCTCCTGAACAGGGCATATCACCTCCGCCACATACAGTGGTATTGCTTCGAAGGACAACTTTGGCAATCTCAAATCTCGCAAACTGAGAAATCTGCCGTTGTCTGAAGACTCGGTAGAGATCCCGATCCAGGTAATTTGTTCTTCGAAGTATGTGGGTTGCCTTTTCGAATAATAAGAAAAACCAAGAGTGGGTGGCGGGAAGAATCGAGCCCAAAGATATGTTGCGCCAACTGCAATAACCAGGTTGATGTGAGAAGAGAGATCGTCTGGACAAACGTTGAGGAGTAAATCCTTTTATGAAGGTGATTCCACATTATCTACATGTACCTATGTGGCCATTTTTCGAGTCTACGTACTCCCGAGCCTCGCGCTACCTCTCGTGGCTCGGCCACGGACGGTGTCGGAGCAACAACAGACAGTGGGCCAAACATCCCAGCGACAGCCACGTTACTGCTGTGGCATGGGTTCGCTGGCAGCGGGGTCCGAGTCTGTGTGCCGGGGTTGTTTCATGTATGTCCCCGGCAAGAAAACACGCCTCCGGAACTTTGTGTCCCCTTGCACTCCCTCTCTCCCGTACGTCTCCTTTTGCGGAAAGTGGTGTGACGATTGCCGTGCGCTCCAATCACAAAGAAGCTCTATGAATCGCACGTGCACGCTGCTCACTGCCGCCTGACGTATCAGTGGAGACGAATCTATCTGCCCAGCCGAGGTGAAAAACGCCACTGGTTTTCACACCCAACGGTTTCACGGGTCGGGTCGATCAAGAACTCCCTCAAGAAAGATATGGTTCGCTTGCCTTTGCGGATCGTTCTGTTTTGCATACCTGTTCAGTCTACGTGAAGCAAGAACCCTAACCACTTGGTTGTCTTCTCTCAGCCCAGGAGCCAAACGTAGCAGTAAGTACGCAAGGGCAAGAGGCACTTGAAGTTGCAGCTCTCCCGTCGTGGCTGCGCAGCGCGGTCGGTGCAGAAACACACAGCATGTCGGGCTTGCGAGGGACTCGGACGCGAGGCGAGCCATGCCCAAGATCTGCTCCTGTGTTCCTCACGGCAATCGAGGCACAGGCGGTTGCCAAATCGGAAACCAAAGCCTTGCGGGCACTCCTCTTGCCAGACTACGATGGCGTCGCTGTTGCGTTTGCTAGGCTCCTTGTGAAAGTCGTACAGAGATGCAAGAGGGACGATCAGGTCAGTGTTGTTGTCTGCGGTAAAACTTTGGGTTTGTTTGAATCACAGCTGACAACACATTATTATCATTGTTGTCTTTGCCACCAACCATGGTGAACCTCTACAACATTCATCGACAGTGCGACGCAACGGGACTAGCCTAGACTATTGTATGTATGCATGTATAGACAGCAAACAACAGTCAACAACAACAACAACGACAAACAACACAGCTCTATACGCCACCTCACCCGACGTTGTACCGTGGAAAAGTTGTATTAACCACCTCTGCCACCCATTCGGTATTGTCGAGAATCCTACTAGCAAATCAGCAATTCGTGCGTAAGCGTCGACACTCTCCCCCGTCTTCTTTTCTGGAGGCCACGTCGTTCGCGTACTACGTTATCCGTCGGCTCGAGTACGATGCCTTGTCCTCCCTCCTCGTAATTTAATGTATTCTTCCCACGACAAAGAAATCATGATGTTCGACTGATGCAAACATGCGGTCGCCTGTGATAGACCCTGTGGACTAGCCTACAGTACATGATTTGGGCTGTCTGGGTTGCGTGCTCGAAGGACTACGAACGGACTGCTCCCCCCTCGCGCTACCACGCACATTGTCATTGCAAGGTCGACGGTCGGGTACTACACGCGTGTGAGGCGTTGGGGGTGTGCGAGGGGAGGCCCGTGTCGGTAGAGATGCTAGCAAGGCGACTGAGACGGTTCGGGCTGGCTTGGCACGGTTTTACAACTGAGGAGTGCCAGGTACTGTTTGCCGTAGAGACCGTTGGGGAAGCTTGCTGTCGTCTCTGTTTGCCTGGCCATACACGTGTACATGAATTGTTTTTACCACATGTGGTCTCTCGCGGGCATGTCGATTCAATTGTTGAAGGAAAGTATTACCCTAGGCAAGAGCCAAAGGGAGTCTATCATCTTGCAGTGGGTCTTTACGGTACCGTACTTTGGCATTAAAGAACGGCAGCCTCACAACGCCTCATGTATTCTTGTAGTAAGAGGACCCAGTGGCGCTCACTTTTTAGTTCTTTCCAAGCATCGAAGTGTTGCCGGAATGAGTATCGTCATATTTTCTGTGAACAACCCGTCGGGCCACCAATGAAAAACGTCATGGCATTCCTCGCCACGTTATACCAAAGGAAATAGCCAGCCTCCGGTGGCAGGACATAGCCACCACAACCCCAGACTCTCCGCTCACCCAGAGTAGAGGCCTCCATACATTTTGTTATAGTTTTATGGTTCGCTGCCCAACGGGGTAATGTCAATATTGAGGGGGGCATTTCAAAGGATATGTACGGCAAGTTGATCTGGTCCACGAAAATAGCACCGACGGACGTGACAGTGTCAGGTGCCGTGTCCGACAGGCGTTCATATGCGACGAGCTCGACACGGACGAAGACGGGCAAGTGAGAGTGCAGGACATTTTTGCATTCCTTCGCAGCTTGTGGGCCCAACAAGCCCGTCGGGCACTCGCCCGGCCGCACCAGTCTCTCACTTTGGGGGGCGACAGATGTTGTCGAGGGGGCTACAGACGACACGGGACACGACGGCAGGCGGCCGTAGAAGCTGGGACGTTTGCCACCAGGAGATTTCCGAGGGGGTTACAGCAAAAGCTGCGGGCAGCCGCGGGGTGAGTGAAACAGAGAGACTTTTCAAAGATCACCCGTGGGTGCGTCAGCGCTGAGTATCTCGTGTCGATGAGCGTCCCAAGGGAGCCTCTGTTGGCAATTACTCAACCCGACACGGGTGCTTGGCTGTAGGCAAGAGCCCTGCCTTCCTTTCTAACAAGAGAATATGAATCTGATCCGATCGTCGGGTGTGCTCAACTGCAAAAATCATTTCACGTCCAAGCGGTACAGTCCCTTGTGGGTTGCGATGTCCGTTCTTCGTACGTTCACCACGAGAGATACGTCTGTTTGCTCGCTGCTTGCCCCCACCGTCGACGTTTGCGGGGTTTCAACTAATCGCCCCACACCTTTGTCGGCGCGCGCTCCAAACCCCAGACGCGCTCGCTTGTGCGGTGTGGACGTCTTGAAGGCGTTGCAGGGCGCCGCTTCCCCTTCGCCTCGCTGCTGTAGATGCGCTGGAGACGTGAAGGATTCCTCCTCGCTCGGGGCCGAAGCGACAGCGAGGTTCTTGCGGAGTATCGGCGTGGGCTTCGACTCTCATCACGCGTCGGTGTCACCGAACCGAGGGTTCGGCGAGCGCCTTTCCCACCCGCGCGGTCAGGCCGACGCGCACGGTGAGGCAGACCTTCGTGAATCCCGGGATGTACGTGGTTACGTGCGGCCGGGAAAACCGTTTTCTTCAGAGGAGGAGCGTGTAGTGCATGTCCCGCCGTCGTCCTCACAGCGAGACCGTTGGAGTGGTGATGATCTACAGAACCGGTGCCAGGCGGGGGAAGAAACGCGGGCGGAGCCTTGGTGGGCGCAGGGCGATATTTTCCAGGCTTCGCCCGATCAATGCGAAGGTCGAGTCGCCGAGGCACAGAAAAGACGGACACGCGGTCGGGACGGCGTACGCACGACGCGATTTCGTCCGCCAGACACGACGGCGAGAGTAGAGAGGTGTTGGTCTAACCCGTCAGAATCTCCGAAGCTTCCGTCGAGGTTGAACAGGGTCATTCACGGAGGCGGGACTTCGGGCTGCTGCGATGATGATGCCGGAAGCGGTAGAGAATGCGCGGTGGGAGCAGCCGATGGTGTTGGCGACGAAGAGTGAGTGAAATCGATTGGAGGGTCGGTGAGAATTCCAGGCTTGCCTTGGTCACACCCTTATTGTACGGTTTCGTGGGTGAAGTGAAGAGAGGAGGAATGTTGGGACGTGCACGTAGCTGCAAGGTGTCACGACAAGAATATTAGAAAAAGGGCGGCGACGATCACCTGACGTATATCGTCGAGCACGCCGGTGGTGACAGGGCGAGAGAGATCCGTTAGCACTTTGAGCATTTGGTTCATGCCCTTGTCCGCACCGCTTGGTATGTAGGTCTTCTCACGAGCTCGTCGCCAACTACCCAGAGACCTTCCCTTCGCCAACGCAAAATGTACGACTTATCCCAATGACACTCCTTGCGTTGCTCCCTGCTTGGATCCCGTTGGCCGGTAGGCAACTAATGCCGACACTAAGTATTTACGAACGACTTCCTTGCTTTCACCAGGGCACGAGAAGACATCGGAACCTGTAACTCGCAGCGTTTGCGGCGTGCGGTCAAAGACCTAAAACGGATGCAGAGCGAGTACCTTGCGCTTCAGCGTCAAGTCCGAGGCGAAACAACAGACAACTCACGCACACCGCCGCCGCCGCCGCCGCCGCCTCCTCCGCCGCCACCACCAGCCACTGCCGAAGTAGCAAACCTCGACGACTCCATCGAGCACCACTGTCGTGGCGACACAGCAGCAGCAGCTGCAGCAGCAGGTAGGCGCTCCTCGCACAACGCACTTCTTCGCTCCACCTCCTTCCTCCCTGGTCACACCAACCCCAAGAACAACGGAGCGCATCACTACTACTTCAGCAGGGCGATACAGCAGCAGCACCAGCAGCACCAGCAGCACCAGCAGCACCAGCAGCACCAGCACCAGCATCAGCACCAGCACCAGCACCAGCACCAGCACCAGCAGAAACAAAAGCAACCTTGGTTGGGGTATGAGGGGGCCGACGGAGGTACCCAAAGAGACTGGGGAACCGAAGACGTTAGCGACGATAGTGGTGGCGGCGACGATGGCAATGGCCGTCGGTGTAGAGACCGCCGAAGAGAAGAGGGGTCATTTTTTCGACCGCCGCCTCTGGTGATGCGGCCCAAATCCTCGTCTTCTTCGTCGAATGCCTTCAACTCTGGGATTGCCTCAGCCAGGTGCGTGCGAGGGTTGATGATTTGATCGACAAGCTTTGGTGCCTGGTCGGCATTATGTGGTCTTTTTCGACCCGGTAACTGCATCGGTCGGCGTTTTGCGTCGACCTGCACGGGTCGTGTCGGGTGGCAACTTTCTTCGTCTGCTCCCAACGGGTACGCACAATCGGAGGGTCGTCACTTCTTTGCCCATCGTCCATGCACGGCGCTCGTGGCTTGAGCGAAAGCACATATTTTTGTACTCAGCGCTGCTATCACATTTCGATGGTTGGCGGTCGGTCGATCGTCACCAGAGTACAGAAGAACGGCGCCTGATCCCCACGGTACCTTCGATGCGCTCGCATTCATGATTCAAGGACGGCGCTGATTCACGATTCCATTGTCCGCTGCTGCCATGTGCATGCAGATATCAAAACCACACTGCTCACGCCGACTGCTCAGAGGGCGCGAGGCAGAACGGTTGGGTCACTGGCTGGCCTCGGCGCGCTCCCGATACCCGGAGATGGTGAGCCTCAAGGAACTGTCAAGCAGGACCCGATTCGCAGGGTATCCGTCGATTGACGTTTACCAGAATCGGTACATATGTCCTTCGTAGAACGCCACACGCCAACACAACCGACAGCCTCGTGTACTTCACATGAAAGTAATAGAAGTACGATCGTGCGGAGGGTGTTTAGGTTTTGGACAGGGGTCAAACGCTATTGGGTCGAGCGTGGATCGAAGACATTCGGCGAAAGCTACCGATCGTAAATGGATTGATCGACGTGTGCGTGTATTCCTACTTATTCCGGATGTAGAAAGCTGGGCGTAGGTGCGGGATGCATCACCTCCGAGAGCCCGACAGACCCGTGTCTTTGTTCCCTGGGTTTGACTGAAAGCATCTGTCTCTGAGGATTTCGGTCCCTTAATGCTTCGCATGAGAGTCAAATTGCTCCGAGGCCAAGCACAACTTGCCGCTCAAACCAGCGTGTCCGTGCCTCCTGAAAACACAGCCGGGCACTGCTATTGATGGCGGCGCAGGGCAAGGCCTGTACAGAGGATACCTTCGACGTCGCCACGGCCCGAAACGGCTTCTCGGGTATCCGAAGCCTACATGCTCTAGGACTCAGCGAGGAAAAGGTGTGAGGTTGCCTGGGGTGTTTGATTCCAAAGGGTCCCCTGCAAAACGGCCTGACCTCAGGAAAAGCGACAAATGGCGCCGACGCCGTACTACCTTATGCCTGGCTCCGTGGATCTCCTTGACACGTTTACGTACTATGTTTGAAAGTGGTGGGCCGTTTGATGCTCCCGGATGTGCCGCCTACTTGCGCTTTGCCCAAGCAATACTTGCTCACACTGCAACCCAGGAAAGTACGTGGAAGCTATCTCTCAAGCCAAGATGACGTAAAGCACAACGGGCTCCTCAATTAAGAGAGCGCACCGAGTCGTGCAGGGGTACCGCATAATTTTTCTGCAGACAGAACGTTCTCCCGTTCGTGTTCGCTCGCGCCGTGTCAATGAGTGGCCAACACGCAGGTGCAACGCTGAGGCTACTGTAATTCGGCCTAAACAATAACAATCTCTTTACCCACCCAACCCGCTCCTTTGCCCCTCCTCGCTGGACACTCGTCAGGGGTGTAGCACACCAGTCCCCAGAGCTAGACGTCGCGATGCCTGGGCCAGAAACAGGGGTGACGATAGGGGACGGGCGAGCCACCGGGGCGCTATGCACCTAGCAAGCGCTGAGGTGGCGACAGACGAGAACGGCAGCAGCAGCGAGCTTCGCTGTATGCAGGGTGTGCATGCCTTCTTGAACCCGGGGGGGGCAGCGACAAGGTGGGCCACGTTTGCCTTTTCAAGGTGTCCGGAACGATGAACCGGTTACCCCTAAAAAGCCTTGCCGATTTAGCAACCAGGGGTGGGGCAATGTGGAGATCCCCTGCATGAAGGATACAGTCTGCTCGACGCCTTCAGGGACGATTCCCTCTTTTTCACGCCTTCATGTTAGCTGATGCCGAATTGACATCAACGGTTCTACATAGACGTGTCAATAATAAATTACTTGGTTAATAGATGGAAAGCAAAGCGTTTGCCGAACTACTCCGAGACCTAGAGACTGCTGGAACCTTGTAGCGCCCGCGAGCGGCGGGGGAGATAGATCGACAAGCCCCCCCCCGACACGGGCGTGTTTTCATCGGCCAGAGCGGGTAACTCTGCCTACACCTACTCTCACGGTGTTTGCTGCGGGCAGGCGGACAGCAGGGTCAATGGTCTTGCCGGAGGAGGACGAAAAGACCAGGGATTGGAGAGACCGTACGCCGGAGAGGAGGCCTGCTCGACCGCCGGCGATCAAGAGCCCCACGTACGCCAGAAGGAGCCGTTCCGGTACGAAACGCCTCCGTATGCCACGCTCGGGCCTTATCTTGTACCGGGCATTAGATACACCCGATCGGTTTCACGTGGTATACCATGCCCTCACACACTCCTCCCCGTTGGAACGTTGTGTCTCGTCGAACTTTTGCAACATACGTCGCCGATGGTTTTGGTGGAGCGCCCTGTCGGTTGCGAACCAGCTGAGTTGAATGAACCGCCCAGACATCGCCCGCTGCTGCGGGTGGGTGTGACGTGGATAACAGTGTCATGATTATCGTACATCCACGGGGGGCGCGAGAGAAAAAGCTTTGGTGTTGTAGGTTGCACTGAGGTCTGAAAATGCCGTTCCCTCTGTTAGGGATGCACGTGCATCAGCGGGATGAGTCTTTCGCCCTCGACCTCTCTCTGTCTCCAACGTCATCCCCGAAGTTCATGCAATCCCGCTCGTGTTCATCCTCTATCGTCACCACACTGTCGCCCCTGTCAGAGGAGAGAAACGTGTGGGACAAAAGGATAGGACGATGGGCCAGATCCACATCCAAGGGGCGGTCGGCTGCTCGCATTCGTGGGCGGTCTGTCGACAACCCCTGCAACGTCCGGAAGATGTGTGGCCGCGACTTGCGCTGCCTTTGATCGTTGAGATCGCGTCCGAGGCCATCACGACCAACCGAAGGCGCAAGGCGGAGCTAATACTGCTGTAGGGGACAATAGCGGCGTGCCCTGGATCGAATTGCGACGAGATCGGTGTAAAACTCGTGCAAATATCATGGTTTGCTTGGCCGAGCGGCTTGACCAAAGTTGCGCAGCCGGCGGAAAAAGTCCCTTATTGGGAGTAGGTCGCGCGGTGCGCACAAACAACGAGGATTGATTGTTCGATGCTATTTGTAGTGTCATCCACTCTTAATGTCTTATGGGACAGACTCGTCGTACAGCAGGGCCATCAACGCGCTGCGCAGAGATTGAAAAACCAAAGACATCAGGACTTGTGCAGCTCTTGCGGAACAACCACCTTGAGAAGTAACACCCTCACACAGACTGCCGTCCACACGCCCACGCAGCAAAGTACCCACGACTCAACACCCAAACTCGCCATGAGTTAAGGTTGCAAACGGAGGAATTTGTAGCCCCTTCAGGGCAGTGTCAGCCCCCACAAATCGGGAATATCCGCCCCCACAACTCTATGTATGACAATTCAATCTCGCATTCCAATCGACTGGCAAACAACGATATGCGTGCAGGATTATGACATCGAACAAACCTGATTCCATCCACACCACGCCGGCAAGATAGCACCCGCACACCGTGCTCGGCCGCGGGGCTCGCACACCGACGCACGCGTGCGACTCAACCCAACGCCCTACCCTGTTAGCGGACAACTGACCAGCAATCAACAAGCAACAAGCGACACACGAAGCGAGGAGGGGGTCGATCGGCACACTCGAGCGCCCCCACTCACCCCGAGCATTTTCCCCAACACACGACAACATCCCCAACACACAGCAAGCTGCACACGACAGGTTGGAACACAAGAGCACCACCCTATCATGTTGTGCAGGTGCTATTGACGCCCCTCACCCGTGTACCCAGTCCAACGCCAAGCACCTAGAAATTTGGTTGTCCACCCCCCCCCCGCAAAAAGCCTCAGCATCGCTGTTTGGAGATTGTGCCACGAGATATACTTTCGACCAGGAAATGTCAACAAGAAAACGGGGAAACGGCGCATAATAGTTCCGCCAAAAGCAAACCGGGTGGGCGCCCCGCCCCGGACACCAACGGAGACGGCAGTGTAAAACTTTTTTTTCGTCGTGAGCTAGTTTTGCATTGTAAAACCCTATTTTGTACACTGTACTTGTATTGTACACCAATGCAAAACTCAGCGCTCGCTTCGTAGCTGTCCTACCTACGGCATCTACGTGCCCAGTCCGGCGCACTGTTATGGCACACATTTTTGTGGACACTCATCCAATGGCGAATATATTATTCGCGGTGGAATAAAAAACGACCACCCCCCTCCCCTTGTACGTGACTGAGCTGGTAAAAGAAGATGGGACGTACAGGGAGATGTTTGAGGCATGGAATAGAGAGGAAAGGACGGTAGCTGTACTGGGGCATAGGAGGTGGGTTGAAAAGGCGGGAAGGGATATCGTTAGGATAGACAGACTAGGGAAGACATTTTTGAGCCACCGTTGGCAAAGTAGAAAGGAACGATTGGCCATCGGTGATCGGTGCTTTGGGAACAATGCTCCGTCCTCTCGACGGCGCGCGGTAAATGGTCTAACCGCTAAGGTAAGGCATGCAAAACATAAGAGTACCTCCCCCCTCCGCCCCCCCAATCTAGACTTGAGAGGGTTGGCGCTGTTGGCAAAGCGCTGTAAAACACGCCANCCCCCCCCCATTCTATACACAACACCCAAAGTGTCTAGCGCTGCCACAATCATGGTCCTTGCTTCTACTATGGTTGTACCACCAATCATGTACCGACACGCCGAGACATTGCGCCGATAGTGCTGGTCGCCAAAGTTGACCACATCTCTCCCCACCGAGCACCTCATAAAAGCCTTAGTCTACGGCTCGTCCTGCCCCTGCCGGAATGTTCCATGTATGGCGCTACAGCCGGTATCCGAAAAATATTGGTTTGGCAGTTGTCAATCCGCCCTTCGTAAGATTCCACCACAAATGAAACGCGCGGTCCACCAGCTAGCAGTTGCCCAGCGCACACGCGCACCAATCACGTCACATCTATGTAGTAGGCCGACGTTGCCGAGCAGGCTGGACAAGCCCACGTTTTTGTCGTTGAAAATACCCCGCCATTATTGCCGTAGGGTTAGAGGCACGCGTATGCACGCCCCCGCCCCCCGCCTGACAACGCCTCCGTTGCTCCGCACACCACCAGTGAAAGAGTAAGAGGACCATTCACCCTCCACACGCCTCACGTGGAGACAGAGTGTTGTTTTCTCCCGGAGCGTCTTTTCTAGGTAGCGTCTCGTGCAACACACCGAGCGCATAGGGCACACGCGACACGCACTCCTGTGCGGCGGGTGTTGGTCGAACCACAACATCAACTGTCCGGCAGAGGGCAGCTGCCAGCGCGGCTCAGGGTTGGCGAGCACAGCGTTGTCTGCATGAGCTCCTTGAACTCCTCAAAGGACATGCTGAAAAAAAACGATCACCAAAGGGGCGGCCGGCGAACGCACAACGGGTGAGTTGAGAAGGTGGCGCCAACAAGGGGAACGGGGAGATGTAAATAGACAAATCTAGAAGTGCGTTGACCTTCATGTAGAACTTCGCGAAGAACGGTGCGACAAATTACGGGAGTCGCAAATATTCTCTGGGGCACGTGCTTTCTTTATTGCCTTCGCGTGCCTTGCTGAATGTGTCAAAAGTACGTCCAAAAAAGAGTAATCGTGGCGAACATTCACCAGAATATTCCTATTCGGTGGTGCATCGGTTGTATCGACCGCCATCCCTTGGGTTCGAGTTGGACAAGGAGGTATCTGGGGAGAAACCGTCACTCAACATCCTTGCCACGCTCTACTACCTCTTTCTTTCTCTGCTTGGTGAGGTAGGCTTGGCTAGTACGCAAGGGCAGGCGCATGACAATGACAATGACGAAAGAGAGAGGGTGAGCCAAGAACCCCGAGAGAAGTAGCCATCCACCCGATGCGGACACCAAACGCATACTTCATCACTCCTGTATCACGAGCACCGTTACCCATAACACAGACCGTACACCTGTTGAAATATCGTTGGGCGTCGTCGTGTGTATCACGTTGCCCACACGGGAAAACAAACACCAAGTTCTGCCACTAACCATCACCAAACTCTCTTCGCCCCTCGCCCATTCCTCTTCCCTATCTCTCACCTTCCCCCGTGCTGAAGGCCTGCCTCCTTGAGCATCTTGTCGATCTCGTTGTCGTCTAGCTCCTTCCCTAGGAACAGCCGCAGGTCTCGGCCTGTGATCTCACCGGCCTGGGAGCGGTCGAACTTGTCGAAAGCCGCCTGAAAAAAAACAAACACATAACTGAGTGAAGAAAAAAAGAGCAGGATGCTGTGTGTCGTGGCGGACAGGGTGACAACAACCGCGCATCGACGAAGTGTTAGTGCGAAGGCAGAGAGGAAACGCGCGGCAGGCACTTCGTGGCCGACAGTTCGCCACAGACCCCGTGTTGGTCTCTCCTGTGCCGAACAGCTGCCGGAACCCCTGATCGTACCTGAAGGATGGCATCGTCGAGAATGGAGTTGTCCTTCGAAGACATGAGGGATGCCGCCAAAAAGTCGTTGTACCTGAAAGGAAAGACAATTCGTGATGATCCCAAGAACAAAAGAAAGAGCGCGTACGAGAAAACAAAAAAACAGAGGACAAAACACAAGATGAGAAGGCGAATCGCAAGACTGTACAAGTACGTGTGTCGTCGGCGGCTCGCCTTCCTTCCTTGAGGCTCGTGAACACCTCGCTTGCGTCACGTGGAACGCAACAAAACAGAATTCACAGCCTTCGCAAGGAGCTGCAAAAAGGGAGGAGGACCGGGGGG